GAGAGTAATTTTAGCGTGACGTCATCGTAGAGTTGACAACTGAGAGCGGCGAGAATGAGGGCGACTAGTGATGTGCTGAATTGTCCCCAATACTCGGTACCCAATACTTAAAAAAGATTTCGGTACCCTATACTTCCTTTTCGGTATCCGATACCGATTATTTACATTAAACCCTCGCCATTATATGCATTTCAGGTTTAGAAAAAACTTTCATTACTAATTTATATGATATCGGCTAAAACACTTGAACTTATCGCCACAGAAAAATATTATTTTATCAGTTTTAACCTTAGTCGATCCAAGGTTCAAGAAAAATACTTTGACGGATGAAGAAGCCTTTCAGGGGAGAGATTCTGTAGCCAGTTAGCGACAAGTTTCGGATCGATATCGCACTTGTTGACTTACAAATATTTGATATCAAACGTCGACAAAACCGATACCGATTCGAAAATTGTCGTTAACTGGTTACAGAATCTGTCCCAGGCCTACAAAAATGATATCGTCCGATTCAGCTGGAACAAAAATGCTTCAAACAAGTAAGGGTTTCTCTGTATTATGGCATCGAACCGACATATATACATCTTTCATTTGAATCAGTAAAAAAGTTCTATTGGCTCTTACATTCGGGTTTTGTTAGGCGTTTTTTCCATATTTTTGGCCTATGTGCGCTTTTATTCGAAACCTAAATGTTTCGGTACCGAGTATCGAGAGTATTGGGTACTTAAAAGTATTGACTCAGCACATCACTACTGCTGTCTTCTCTACTAGAGTCACCAAAACAGCTGATTCTGTCAAAATCACTGAGAGCCGAGTAGCGGTATCGTCATCGGCGCCACCTCTGTATTCTCTCCACCGTGCATGCAAACAATAGGCGAAGCAGGTTGATGACGCATTTCCGTGCATTACCACCAACACATTCTCATTTTTTATCTCATAACTAATACATTCTCATTTTAAGACTTTTCTCTTTTTGGCGGACACTGCTCTAAATTGGTTGCACTCTCGCATCGATTTAATGGGCCTGAGCACACTAACCCGCTCAATCGGACTGAGCAGTCCACCACTCGAACGCACACTGGACTGGGCAGTCGGCCGAAAACAGGTTTCAGTTTTGTATACATGAACTGCGCATGATTGTGTTAGTGCATGTGGCACATCCCAGCAAGAACGACCCAGTAGAAATCGGTTGTATGCATTCGTGAAGAATGCTTGCTATATGAGTGAATAGTATGAACAATTCATACGTAGTCATGAATTTCCACGAATAAATTCAAATTCCTGCGAATTGCAAGCGAATGAACGTTGTCGTTGTGTTAAGTACATTTCTTGATAAAGTTTAAGTGGCATTTTTGTAATATTTTCAGTCTTGTACAAAAATTTTAGTGAACAGACGTGTTGTGCGATACTATTTTCAGCACAAACGGGCTTTTACAAGATATGCATTTGAATATGTCAATGCTACTTGTTTGTATGTCCCCGTATATTAAAATGTATCAGAAAAGTAGCGTTTACATATGGGGATATATATCTTGTAAGAATGCTTTAATACTGTTCCATTAATGCATTTTTGTATGTTTGAAACATTAATACAGCCATATGCATACAGCAGTAGTACAAGTGCATGATTAAGGTACGCATACGCTCTGAGAAACCACGCGTGGTTAATGGAAATGAAGGTTCATTTATATTGGCATGTATACACAGCAGCAAGCTCATGCCACCAACAGCGATGTCGTATGCTTAAAATTTCTACTGGGGACCTAACGCCCATACCCAACAATTTCTACAATCACAAAGTAATCAGATATACCACAGAGTTGTATCGCGGTCCAATAAACCATCAATTAACAAATGTAAACTATGTTAATATTATGTTTAGATGCTAATATTCCTGCAAGACACGAGTTTTTATGTTTACAAAGAACAATTTCATTAATAATTCTATTACTATTATTAATTAATTATCTATCAACCAGGTTTCCTTTTTTTCTGGGTGCGTGTTTATTGTTTAACTTTCATATTCCTCTTATTCTTCGCAAAAATAATAGACAACGAAGATTTCCTTGTGAAATTTATCATTAACTTATATTATAGAACTAAATACATACATATATTAATTATATTATATAAATTAGTATAGAAATAAGCCTTTAATAAAATAACCCGGTAATAAACATTTACATTTCACATAAATATATAATTACCTATAACAACATATTATTATAGTCTTATTTTAATTACTTATTTTCTAAAAAGTATTAATAACAATGGGTATTTATATCCGATAACTTGTGGAGTACTTTTAATTCTACTTGAACCGAATATATGTTCTTTTATCACTACTACATGTATATTCATTTGACGGCCATCTCGACAAAATTTCGTGGTTTTGTGAATCTAATTTGTGCTAACAAAGTTTTATTAATATATAAAACAAAAATAAACAATTCAGCGATTTGTGCTCCTTCGTGAAGGAAAAGGCAGAATACAGCACATGAAAAACAGGCGAGTAAAACTTTAATTCATGATGAATAAATCTTTTAGAAACGCGTTGTGTGTTGAAAAGAAAGAATTTAAGATTAGGGCGGAAAAATACAGGAGAATAGGAGAATTTGCTTGCATAGACGATGAGGGAAATGGGAACATAAATTTAGAGCAACATAAAATTGCGAACGAAGTACCTTTGTGCCGGCAGGATAAGCGGGAAAATACCAGCTCGGACATAGGAATTGAGGTTTTAGACTCTGCAGAGTATTCCAAACGAAGTCAAAAATCTTCCGAGCTTAAAGCATGGGCAATCCGGAATAGTATTTCTCAAAATACTGTCACTGATCTGTTGCAAACCTTAAATAAAATTGGCGTTGAAGATTTACATCTTTCCGCCAAAACTCTCCTTGGGACTGAGAAGAAAAAAATCAGTATTGTATCCATTCCAAGCGGAGAGTTTATTTATTTCGGAATACAGACATTTTTTCGTCAAAAAAATTGTGATTTCCTTGAAAGAAATAGCGAAGTCCAAATCGACGTTGGTATTGATGGACTTAAGCTCTTCAGCGATTGTAGGATATCCGCAAGAAAATCCTTTTGTTATTGCATGTTTCGCAGGTACTGAAAAGCCATGGAATGTCAATGACTTCATGAAGGATTTTTGCGAAGAAGTGACGACGTTGTCAGAAGTTGGCCTAGTCGTAGGTTCCCATGAAATATCAAAAAGTTTTAAAGTACGTTTGTTCATTTGTGACTCACCAGCCCGCGCATTTGTTACGGGTGTTCAATCGCATAATGCCAAGAAAGGCTGTCCCGGATGTTTGCAAGTAGGACTTTATACCAGAAGGAGAATAAGTTTTTCTAAACAGGTCCATGAATTACGAAGTGATTTATCTTTTAAAAATAGGGTCGATCCAGAGCATCACAGTTTACCTTTCAGAGAGCAGCTAAATATTCTAGAAAACCATAACGTCAGAATGGTATCACAATTCCCTCTCGACCCTATGCACCTTGTTGATCTAGGTGTAACGAAATTATTGTTGCATTTGTTAATGAAAAGGGGAAATGTCACAAAAATGAATGAGAAAATCTATTTTCTTTCTCGCTTAGTTCCCTCAGAATTTGGCAGGATATGTAGAAATTTAGATGTAATAGCTAATTGGAAATCGGTAGAATTTAAGCAATTTCTGTTATATTCGGGAATATTTGTTCTGAAAGATTGCGTAGACGATGATTTATACCATCACTTCCTCCTTTTACATGCGAGTATAAGGATGCTTTCATGCGAAGAAAATGTTGCCCAGGGAATGATTGAAGAATTTGTCAATTTGTTTGGCATAATCCATGGGGAACATTTAATAAGCTTCAACGTACATGGTTTATTACATTTAACGGAATGTACAAGTCTATATGGTGCCCTAGAAAATTTTTCTGCATACAAATTCGAGAATTTTATGCAATATTTAATGAAAATAATTAAAAAGCCAAACAAAATTTTGAAGCAATTATCTTTAAGATTTCAAGAATACCAGCGCTCAGATATACCTTTAAAAAAGAATTCAAAAACTGGATCTTTCGATATTAATATTAGGAAAGAGAAAGATTCTTTTTGTTTAAGCGAAAAAACTGGTCCATTTAGAGCAATATCAATGCGAAATGCATCTGGCCGCGAGGTGGTGCTTGGATATAGTTTTCAACAAGTTGAAAATTACTTCCAAGAACCACTAGAATCTGCACCTGGTTTAGGAATACTTTTAGCACACAAACTAGGCGAGCAATTATTGCAAGTTTATAAATCTGAAATTCTATATACTTTTGTATCCCACATTAAAATAAGTTTCTATTAATACCAATTCTACATAATCTTTTCCACGAGTTTTCCATTTAAATTAGTTGAATTTGCTTAAGAATTTAAATAAGTTAGAACAATTTAAAATATTTAGGTCATTCGCTTCAAGTATATGTACATATCTTTGAATTAAAAAACTAATAACAAATTTGTATTCAAGAAAAATGGATGACATCATATATTTTGATGATGACAGTCACGAAGAAGTAGATGTAGTGACCAATGGCCAACCACAAATTATAGCGCAAACATCCACGAATACACCCAAAGGTAAGGCAAATGCTGAAATTTCATGCTTATGTATATTTTTTAATTGTATTTTTTTTTCAGTGTCTAAATTTACAATTCACAATCGAAAAGTGTTTAAAGTCTCCACGCCATTTAAAAAAAGGCAAATTGGTCAGTCATCGACAATCGCTGAACAAGGCCATATAAACAAAATCAATCAAACCAACAACAACATCAACCACACCAACAACAACATGAACCACGCCAACAACAACATCAACCCCACCGACAACAACACAGGTATTCAATTTGTTATTCATTTTCAGTTAGTTATATTTCTTTATTTCAAAGAGTTTTCGTTTTTTAATTTATAGATACAATTGCTCTCCTAAACGAGATTCTAGACAATCAGAAAAACATAATGTGTAGACTCGATGTGCGCGAACTTTATATGTATGCCACATTAGAGCTTTATACACCTGACTTATCATGTATTTGACACCCCAAATATTATTTGAAAATTACTCAATTTTATTCGCGATCAAAGTTTGTGCATTTACTAATGTAATAATAATATTGGCCTTTATTAACTTTATTTATTATTACGTTTAAGGTCGTAGATAGAGGAGTGATAATGGCGCAAAATCACACCGTGAGAGAATGCAAAGTAATTCTCACGAAAGTTCATCGCTCAATAGGCCGATTAACCGAAGAACTTGAGGACGAAATCCATGTGGAAATTGCGGCTACATTGCCATTGAATAGCATTGACGCTGCAAAGGACTTGGAGGAGAGGTTGCAAAGTAAAGAGTTTGCAGAAGCAATTGTAATTTTTTCTGATGTAAATTTTTTATTATACATATAACTTATATGTATAAATTATATATGAATTACAGAAAACGTATTTATTAAGATTAAAAGGAATGACTGGTTCAATTGACGACGTTTTTCGTAAACTTCTGACGGATGATCTAATTATGCTGTTTAATTTCGATGGAAGAAAAAATAAAAAAGCTTTAACCAAGCTCGTGCTCATAAATGAAATCCGCTATGGTATTGTTAACGCATTGTCAGTTCATAAAATGTTTACGTTTTTATTGTAATTTAGCCAAAAATATTTCATATTGTGTTTCTTTCATACCTTCTTACAGATGTGTTTAAATCGGAAGGATATTTTAATTTTGAAAAACAATTGCGAAAATCGGTTGAGCTGAGCCATAATAGGTATAGGCAAAAAAAGGTAGTTCAAACTCACAAGAGTGCGAAAGATGTGAGTAACTTAAATTTTAATTAGCTATAGTTATTGATTTCTTAAATAAGTATTTGTTTTTTACAGGCAAACACTTTTAACGAGTTAGCGATTTAAGAAACAGTGGCGTGAAAAAGCGGATGAACAGAGATTTTTTTAAATGAAGTGAATTTGCTTTGTTAATTCTTTTTTTTGCAAAGTTATAGTTGGCACTACTTACTTTATGAATATGTAACAAACATTTTTTATATTTTTAAAATGTAGAAACTTTGTACTAAGTATGGTATTGTACAATCTAAAGCTCAGCTTATTACAAATTATCTTTTAAAACATGTTTAACAAGTTAGCGATTTAGGAAACAGTGGCGTACAAAAGTGGATGAACACAGATTTTTTGAATGAAGTTGTTGTAGCGGCTACTTTTGAATGAAATGAATTTGTTTTGTTAATTCTTTTTTGCAAAGTTATAGTTGACACTAGTATATACTGTATAGCCCATTAAATTTACAAAAGTACAACGATGTGCAAATTTGAAATACTAAAAATTTTAAGATTTTTTTTAAATATTTTTTTAAATTAGAAACTTTATACTAAGTATGGTATTGAACAACCTTAAGCTCAGCTTATTACAAATTAATGTTTAAAACATATAGAACGAGTTAGTGATTTAGGAATCAGTGCCATACAAAAGCGGATGAACCGAAATCTTTTTAACGAAGTGAATATTTTTTTTTGTCATTATTTTTTGCAAAGTAATAGTTTATACTCCTGTATACATATATGTAACAAACGACTTTTTTTTAAATGCCCTTAGTATTTGAAAAAATGTAAAAACTTTATACAAGTATGATAATGTAAAAACTTAAATTCCGCCTATTAAAATTTAACGTTTAAAGCGAGGTATAATTATATAGTTGTATATATTTAATTTAGATTGGAATCGTAAATGCACTCTTATCCAATAGTATTTAAACAACTTTTTCAAATTGTTACAAGTGAATAAAATGCGGAACAAAATAAAAACTATATTACTATTTTATTAATTTTGCAATAGTAGGAGTAAAGTATCGGTATAACAGGTAAACAATGCGTTATTTATACGTAAATAGTACGCTATAGTCATACTGCAACTGATCCCACAAATAACATGTTATATATGGCATAGCTGTAACAGTTTGGAAAGCGATAAATATAGTTTATCGCCATAGCAAAAGTTCATGTGCAGAAAAAGGAAAACTGCGCACATGTACAGGAAATTATACGTGAGAATTGTCCAGTAGCCCTGTATTAAAATGATGGAAAGTTTTTGAATTTCTCACACAAACTTTTTGTAGTACTAAGCGTATATAACGCTTTAGTTAACAGTTAGGTTTCTTGCTGGGATGCAAACAAAACAAAATAGAAAACATGTTCTCTATGTGTGCGTCAGTCCACCGTCAATCCGCGATTTGCGCGGACTGAAATGAGCGAGGTAAACTCGAACTCTCTTCCCCCTCTTATCCACACAAAACCGGCTTTAGGCGGACTGAGCAGTCCAGTGTGCGGAGGCCCAATAACTATGCCTATCGATTAGGGATGTTGCGAATGTGGAATTTTAGACATCCGCGGATGCGAACATTTTTAAGAAATAATTTTGGTGAGTACATTAGGTGATTTAGGTAAATAAAAAATGGTAAAGTTAGTAATTTGAATAATGTTTTTTTATTTAGTACTTAAATTAAAAAATTGGAACATTGTATTTAAGAAAGAGTATTTTTCCTGCCTTTTCCGGTTACAGCCTGTTTCCTAACGGGTCTTAAATCAAACCTGCGCACTAGGTAACTACTCGCTCAAGGCGACAAACTTAAAAAACTTGAAATTTGACAAAATTGTAAATCCTTTTCGATTGACGCTGCACCAGTTGAGAGGACTTTCAGTTATATTTCTTTTTTTATTGCGGTGCAATAATTCCTTTTTAACAATTCCATCGGGGCTGCAAGTGTCGGATGCACCTGACTTTCATCTTCACTATCTAGCATCATGGCAAGATCGTTGCTTAAACACCATTGTGTTCCAATTTGGAGAGCCAGTTCTTTTGTTTATTTCAGAATTTGGAGAACTTGTTACGTCATCAGCGTTTTTCGATTTTAGTTTTTGTAACTCATTTTTAATCTTGTCTTCTGTGACTGGTATAAAAAATGTGTGCTTATAGCGACGTTGTGAATAGGTGGATAGGGCAAATAAATTGTTATTTTCTAGGAATGAAAATTTCGAAGAAAATTCTGTTTTGAAAGTCGAGGCTGCCAGCAGAATTAGTTTAAAATCTTGCTATTTTGTTAAAAAGGTACCCCGCTTTTTATAATATTTTGAATTATTGGAATCACGACCAGTAATGAATAGCTTGTATATAGTTTTTTTATTAGTTAGTTGAGCTCGGCTCTTCCTAGTTGCAGGCAAACACAATTAATTAGTCACCGCTGTCGGTACCAAAATTAGCCGGTATACATATTTAAAATTTTTTAGAACCAGAGGTTAAATTTTTGTACTGAAAGGGTTAACCCCAAAGGTATAATCTACGTCTGCGAGGCGTATACGGAATGGGTCTTTTTTTAATTTTAACACAAAATTGACTTTTTATTTTGTTGTTTTAAATAAATGTGGTTATAGTTTTTATTAATAAAACTATGCTTTATTAGTGGTCAAACTTACAACTTCAATATTCTTTAAAAAGTAAGGCAGGTCTAAGTATATTTTAGCTCACAGGTTATCTTTTAAGTACATAAGCCTCTAAGGCGTATGTTAAGCCCTTACGTTACTCCCAAATAGATTAGGCTTCTAGGGTTAAGAAAGCTTTAGTTTGAAAGTGTGATATTAAATGCTTTTCACCATAAACGGCGCAAATTTTCAACGATTATTGCATTTCAGATTAAGACTAATACCAGATATTGTGAAATTTTGGACTATACCTTAAAGATGACGGTTTCCTCATGGCCCACTGTACGAAGCTTAGAGTAGAGTAATGTCTTTTAAGAACTTAAAAACTATCCTGGGTTATCAGGTGTCTAGCAATACATAGTGTTGTTCCGATATGACCTTGTACTCGATACCTGTACTCTTTAAAAATATTGAAGAAAATTATCGATGCCACAAATGTATCGGAGAGAAGTACTCGATACTTACTCATATCGAACTCATTGTAAATACTTATGTCATGTGAAGAAAAACAGAATCGGTTCGAGTACTCTCCGACCAAAACTTACCCAAAAAGTAGCCACAAGTTTGTATCTTGCAAAATTTTAATAATTGACTAGTACGGGAAAGCAGGAATTGACATTAGGAGTTTTCGCTATTTCGTATTTTGGGGGTTACTACTAATTTTAATAAATTGTTACTTTAATTTCCTATAAAATTTACCTTTAGGTTTATGCATTTTAAGAATGCATCGAAAATTTGTGTTAGCGAATCAATGCGAAACAATTATAGAAACTATTAACCGGTCTGCTGAGCAACCGATACGTCTGCTTTTTAAATAATTTTTGTAAAACAAATCGGCATGCACATATCGTCCCCCGCATGCCAGAAACATGAATGTGTAAAGATGAAAATTTTGGGATTTTTTTGTATGTCGCACCATATGTACTGTAATCGCCCCGATGCGCCAAAAATTAGATGTGAGATGAAGCTGGTCTTGAGTAGCGAAAAGCCATTTCATTGTCCACCAAGAAGATTGTCGTACAGCGAGAAGGAACAAGTGAGGGTATTGTTAGATGATTTATTGCAAGCACTATTGTTTCTATTATTCTAGTTAAAAAGAAAACGTGTGTTTTAAGATTTTGTGTTGATTTTGTAATTTAAGTAACGTCACATTAAAGGATAACTATCCACTACCTCTTATTGACGACTTTTTTGATAGATTAGAAAATAAAAGTTTGTTCTCGTTGTTGGATTTGAAAAGTGCATTCTATCATGTTTATATGGGAGAGGAGTCGATTAAATACACTTCCTTTGTAACCCCTCTTGGTCAGTTTGAGTTCTTAAAACTGCCTTTTGCTCTTAAAAATGTGCCATCGACTTTTCAACGTTTTGTTAGTCACGTTGTCGATGATCTCATTCAAGCAGAAACAATTGCTATATACTTAGACGATATAAGGATAGATTGGTACAGAACAAGCTAGAGTCAAGGTTAGATAAATGTGTTTTTATGGAATCCCAGATACGGTATTTGGGTTATAATATTTCAAGTAAGGGCATACGACCTGACGAAAGAAATATAGAAGCTATAGTGAGTTTTCCAATCCCCTATAACACAAAAGCTGTACATAGTTTTTTGGGCTTATGTTCATATTTTAGACGATTCGTTAAGGATTTTTCTCGTGAAGCTCAGCCATTATATAAATTAGTTAAGAAAAATGCGAAATTTATGTTTTGTGAGGAGGAATTGTGTTGTTTTGAAAAACTGAAAAACGAGGGAATTGGAGCACCTAATCTAGCAATTTATGACCCAAGGGATGACACAGAACTTCACTGTGATGCCAGTTCTCTTGGATTTGGAGCTATATTGATGCAAAGGAAGAGTGATGGAAAATTTCATCCAGTGTTCTATTTCTCGAAGCGCACCAGCGACTCTGAATCAAAATATCACAGTTTTAAGCTGGAAACTTTTGCCATTATTTACGTTCTTTGTAGATTTCGGGTTTATTTACAAGGTCTCACGTTTAAAATAATTACTGACTGTAATTCTTTTACGCAAACATTCAATAAGAAGGAGGTTAATCTTCGGATAGCTAGGCGGG